GAAACCTGGACAGAGAACTAGTTGTGATTGACTTCACCCACCACCAAAGTTCTCCAATGTTAACTGCCACAAATATGAGCAGTGTAGTATTGCTCCTATATACCTCCACACTTCCTTGGAAGTAAAATGAAACTATATTTCTTGTCTTGAAAAAGAACCCCAGAAAAAATTCCACTAATGCTAATGAAGTATCAACTAACACAATGACAAATGACCTAAGAATACCTAAGTAGTTATTCACTAAATGAATAAGGCAAAGGGCACTTGCTGCATGCAGAGGTTTAAAATAACCAGCTGTTTTCTCCTGTGAGAGGTATCTGTTCTGTGTCCTGAAGGCAAGAATAGAAAAATGGTAGGCTATGATAGGCTACGTAATTCTATCATATTCGGTGCCCACAAGGGAGTCAAAACCACAGCTGCACAAGCTGACTAATTTTTAAGTTTGCTATTGTGACAATGCTCTTTGAACACTGTTTTGTACATAGTACATACTCAAGTGTGCACAGTTCTGAAGCCTTGAAACTCTGAAATACAAAGGGGTGAAGCAAGGTCATAGCAGCAATCTTCATTTGGAAAAAAAAATGCTGTCAGCTGAAGTCAGATCTTGAATGTTACTGCAACACACTGTATTTTTTTTTCGCATTTAATTAGATTTACGACCCACTTGGTTATCACAGGCTAGTTGGAAACAGACGTGTGTACATTCTACAGTCAACATATCGATGCTCCTCCAGGGAAACAATCATCAGGAAGTTACAGGAACCGCATGGGACAGCCTTTGTTAGGAAAACAAAACCAGCTCAATTTGGTCAAGTAGAACATTCATTTGTGAGAAGAACTGAATGAGTATATATACTTGTGAGGCCCAAAAAGCAGCTTCACTTGCAATGATGTTTTTCAGGCCTTGAATATTCAAATGGTAAAGCATATCTAGCATCTCAAAGAGTAAATTACATAGTATCTCAGACAGCAAGCTCAGTCTAAAACGAGGTCAGAAAAAATACCTAAGTTTAAAATCATTATATTATCTTTAAAAGTCTACCAACTGACTGTCACAAGAAGTACCCTGTCTTCCACAGAATACTACTTGCAGATCACAGATGCCCTAACAATATCAGTGGTGTATTTGTACAAGGAAGACAATTTATACAACTGAAGAAAAACAAATTAAAATACAAATAGCCATCTGAAGAATTCCTGAATGACCAGGTCTGCTCGACTTTTTTTCTGGCTACCACAGGAATAAGAGCAGAAAGTCTGTCATATTCCAGCAGTCACTTCAGGAAAAACATCACTATGTGAATCAAAATGTCCAGCTGCAAAACACATCTATTTACTATTGAACTTCTTTTTCACTTTTAACTGAAATCACAGCTAACGATGACAATACTCAATGAAGTAGTGAACTACTTCATTGATTAGCTTAGTCTTGCACTTCCTTCTTGAAAAAATACTATTAACTGTGCTGGGGAGCTATGCTTTCTGAAGAGGTGCAGGATCAGGCTATAAGTAGCTGTTGTATGGCCCTTACTGTATGCAAGGGGTTTGTTTGGTTGTGAAAACAAAAACTTGTTGACCTGATATACAAATGTTATTCTACTTATGCCACACAAGGGGATGCAGAATGTAACATGATTGGATTGGCACTCCCTTCCATTAAGAACTTCCCCCTGATGTCCAATCTGAACATCCCCTGGTGCACCTTGAGGCCATTTCTTCTTGTCCTGTTGCTGGTTGCCTGGGAGAAGAGCCAACCCCCACCTGGCTACATCCTCCTCTCAGGTAGTTGCAAAGAGTGATGAGGTCACCCCTGAGCCTCCTTTTCTCCAGATTGAACAACCCCAGCTCCTTCAGCTGCTCCTCACAGGGCTTGTGCTCTAGACCCTTCACCATCTTCATTGCCCTTCTCTGGACACATTTCAGCACCTCAATGTCTTTCCTGTAGTGAGGGGCCCAAAACTGGGCACAGGACTCAAGCTGTGGCCTCACTAGTACCGAGTACGGGGAAAAATCTGCTGTTAAAATATTGTACATGACTGGACTGCACTCTTGCTTACAGAATTGAATACTGCCTAAATTAACATAGGTCATAGGCAAAAGCACTTCACCTGCAGACTTCAAATTTCATGCTAAAAGCCACCACAACATGTTGGTAAGAATCATCTTGTAGGAATCCAGAAACTGGAACAAGAGGGGTCAATGAACCAACACGGATATACATTACGACAGTGCAGTGAGCATTTCTGGAAACAGAAGCTACAATATATCTAATGCAGTTGAATTTTACTTCATCTTCAAAGACTAAGAATCTTTCAAAAATATTTATATGACCTAATTTTTAAATAAAAGGGAGGAGTTAAACCCTGAAAATTTTCATTTAGGATGAAAGTTTAATTATTAGTAAAGGAGAAAATTCTAAAGAGTACTAAAATTTAAGACCTTTAAAATGACCATTCAACTTGGTAAACCACTTATGAATCAAGAGAACGATGAAATGTATGATTACTTTTGTTGCCTCAAAAAGCCATGCATTTAGCCCACCCAGTAGCCACTGTAAAAGACCCTATAAAAAATGCTCAAGCAAACAAATTGAAAGGCTTAGTTACTAAAATAATAATTTTACAAATTTTAGCTATGGGCTAGCTAATCACTTACGGAAAAGCTTTAAAAGTAGCAGCAGCATCTAATTTCTAAAAAGAGAGAATGTGAGCTTTAGTGAAACAACAGAGGAAGCCTTTGACTTCAAAGGTGATGCCAAGAAAATTTAGCAAGATCTAAAAGATGCCATCAAAGGACTTCAAGCAATATAAGTTCATAACTTGCAAAAGTCTGTAAGCAGCTATGTAATCTTTGAAAGACTAGTAGTAATTGATGTTGCATCTGAAGACAGCTGTGATAGTCTCAGTTTGGGATGACAAAAATGACTGTAGTTACGAGCAGCAACCAGCATGTCACAGATCCAAAACATCTATGAAGTGAGAAAGAGAAGGTACAATGTGACAGTTTCTCAGCAGGAATGCAAAGCAGCAAGGTCTTAATTGAATAATAAAGCCAGAAAATCACCTGGAGAAAAATACATAACAGCCACAAAATGCAGTAGAATTCCAGTATGTAAATACTGAATTGTCTGTCAGTAAATCTGGGTGAGGTGGATAAGGTAACACTCAGGTAAGCAGTAAGGACTTCACCCATGAACAAAACCAGGACTTCACCTTTGAGGAAGACATTGAACAAGTCCAAATTTAATACAAATCCCTACATATAATTTAAGTGCAGCCATTCACATAAACTGGTGAAGGCATGGTGAATGCTCAAGGGAGAGAAAAATAAATGACCCAGAAGAGACATGTCAAAACTTTGTTCCTTGCTCATCCAGACACTGCTGAAAAGACTACAGAAAAATTGCAAGGTATCATACTTAGTTGAATGTGAATTTACAGATTGAGATCAACAGCTGAATCTGAACAGACTTTAGGGCCAGTCCTGTGACCTGAAGGTCACAAGGAATTCTGCACGTTTGTCTTTAGAGCCGCTTATTGTTTTGTAGCCCATTGGTGTATTATGTTTATGGGATATGAGCACATACTGTATGTTAGGTGACAGAGCTTGCTACACAACTTCACCTATTACATGACTCAGCTGGAGGAAAATCCCATTTGCTCTGCTTTATCCATCCAGCTCTCCGAGTGCTGACTCACGCACAGAAGCCAACAGCTGCAATGGTACAGACGCTAAACCACAGTTGTGCTCTCTCTGACAGAATCACAGAATATGCTGAGTTGGAAGGGACCCACAAAAATCCTCATGTCCAACTCCTGGCCCTGCACAGGCCCCAAGAATCACACCATGGGCCTGAGAGCATTGTCCAAACGCTTCTTGAACTCTGTCAGGCTTGGTGCTGTAACCACTCCCCCGGGGGAGCCTGTTCCACTGCCCAACCACCCTCTGCATGAAGAACCTATTTCTAATATCCAACTTAAATCTCTCAACACAATTTCAGGCCATTCCCTTGAGTCCTGTCACTGGTCACCACAGAGAAGAGATCAGTGCCAGCCCCTCCTCTTCCCCTCATGAGGAAGTTGTAACTGCAGTGAGGTCTCCCCTCAGTCTCCCCACCTCCAGGCCAAAGACAGCGAGTGACCTCAGCCCCCTCTTCCTTCTAGATATTATCACCTTTCCAGCATGTACATCTGAAGAAAATCTCTGCGTGGACTTCAGCTTTTCCAGCTCTCACAAAATCTATAGATTAAATGAATGTTGGGGTAGTGGAGTACTGTCATGCATTTGCTTCTGACACTTCTGCTATAAAACAGTAATTGTCCAGGGAAGAGAAGAAAGTGAGCAACTCTGAGGGCAAGATTCTCCATTCTCCCTGTCATGAGATAACTGAAACACAGTCAAAACAGGAGTTGCACAACCCCTGAGAAAGTCAGATACATAGACAGACCTGTTCTGTGAAGCAATTCGGTGCAAGGCATTGTTTGGCAAAGGGGTCAGAAGTTAGATCAAGGCCAGAGAAGCTGGATAACAAGAGGAAAACATATGTAACACAATGTGAGACAAAGCTGAATGTTTTGTGCAGGCTGCTGGCTGCTCTGTGAGCCATGTGTTTGTGTGTCGAAACAAAAACTACATATTCAAGGTTAATTGTAGATCACAACGTTTTGGGCTTTAAACAGGGAACAGACACGGTGGTGTGCAGGTAAGTGACACCAAGAACAAACGTGGGATTTTTTTTTTTTCTTGCACTGTCTAACAGCAGTGTTAAGCATTTCTGCAAACCTGCACAACACGCAGGTGTGGCACCTCCTCCCGTTCTTTTCGTTTCCCACATTAATTCCGCTGTATCTTTGTTTCTAATGTGCACGGTGCCCACCTCTGCTTTCCGTCGCAGGCAGTGCAGCCCCAGGAACACAGCGCAGCCCCGGCGGCTGTAGGTGAGGGGCTACCGTGGCAGCCTCTACAGCGACAGAGGTGACACCGAGAACACCAAAACTTACATGGAACCAAGCCAATCCGAGCCAACGCTTCCCAGAGCTGTGCGCGGAATTGCAGCTTTAACTCTTTATTTTCTTTTACCCTGAGGAAGCAGTGAGACTCGCTCCGTGGCCGCTCCCCTCCCCGCAGCCCCGGCGCAGCCCCAGCCCCGCCGCCACTGCCGGTGCCGTTGCCGGGGCCCCGCCCGCCCCGCGGCCCGGCGCGCGCTGCCCCGGAAGGCGCTCGCGGCGCTCCGGAAGCGGAGCCGGGCAGGGTCCGGCCCAGAGCGCGGCCCTGTCGCTGCCGCGGTCGGAGGCGCAGCCGTGCCCCGGCCCGACGCGGGGCCGCCGTCTCGCCCGTCACAGGCGGCCCGGCCCGGCGGCCGGCGCGGGGCTCATGGCCAAGGTGGGTGCTGGTCCTCGCCCCCTCCTCCGGCTCCTTCTCGCGGGGTGCCCGGCCGGCTCGGCTGGGAGGGGGCGGCAGCGGAGCCTCCCGGGCCCAGGAGCAGCCCCTTGTGTCGCCTCCTGCCGTGGGAGCCAGGGCTGGGATGTGCCCTGCGATAGGACCTGCTTCTCCTGCCCCGTGGGTCGGGGTGCGGGAGGTGGGTGGCGGCGGGGCCCCCACGGGCACGGGGGCTGCGGGCGGGGGTTGTTTGTGGGCGGGGAAGGCGGGGGGGCATCGCTGCCCTGCTCTGGGGCTGGGGCTGGGCCGGGAGCGGCGGTGGACGAGCGGAGAGTGAGTTTAAAAACAAAAGAGCAGGCGATAAAGTTGTCCCGGCGGTGGCTGTGCTGGAGGCAGGTCTGGCGAGGAGCGGTCCCGGCTGCCTGACCTGCCGCCTCCTCGGCGTGTCTGACGGCCTTGTCTCATCCCGTGTGACCTGTCAGTCACTCGCACCTTCCCCAGGTCAGCTGCGTCTGTCACATGCCTCTGAGACAACCGCGTTTGCTGTTCAAATCGCCGGGAAAGCCCAGGGGCTTTAGAGGTGCAAGTCCTGAGACTAACTGAGAGCTCTGTCGGGTCAGTGGGTTGGGACCAGCAGACAGTCTGCCAGGGGAAGGGGGTTCTCCAGGCCCTTCAAAGTGGTGCTGTGTGTATGAATGAAAGTTATAACTAGCTCACTGCCTCGTCGTTTTGAACTTCCCTTCCTGACATATCCCTAGACGTGAATGCACCAAGGATAGATCTGAAGAGTCGAAGAGGTGTCTCAATACTTGTATGACTCGATTCTCCATCTAAACTTAATTTTTCTTTAACAAAAGTGTGTCTTCTTATCTTCCTGGTCGCTGCATCTTGTTCAGAGTTAATGCGTAACATGTGATAATCATCATTAGAAATCACTAGGAGTGTTATTGGACTGTGAGTTGAAATTAGTACTGTTATTACAATGAATACTCACTGTAGAAATCAGGGTTGATTTAAAAAACTTGCCAACTGTGTTTTGATATTAATATTTTTAACAAGTGTTTATTTTATGACTTTTTTGAATAGTCCTTGATTATTTTTTTTAACTTAAAGCCCTAGTGACAAAGTGACATTTAATGTAATGAGCAAAAAAGTGTTATTGCTCTGTTAAAAATGGCTTGTTGTTAAGATACACGGGTTCAGATCCAGGGAAATTCATTGTCTGTTTTGCTTGGTTAGCAAGTGCTTTTGAACAGCACACCCACCTATGCCTGCTTGAAAAGAAACTTGTATCAGGATAAATCGCCAGGTCAGGCCCAAAAACCGTTAACTCCATTTCAAAGGGAAAGAAATTAAGAACTTTATTCCAGACGGAGATTCCCTATTTACTTCTGTGTCAAGAATGCTTTGAAAACATTTGCTGAAACAATATACCAGCAGTTTTATGAATATCTGGTTAAAGGGCTTTCCAGGGTTTTACTCACTTTCCAGTTCAGTGTCTTGTCTCAAATGTTGGTGGTGAATTGTAGTCAAGATAAACTGTTCTCACTTCTGTGTAATTTTTACAGGCAGAGTGCTTTGGAGCATTTTTTTATACTACGAGAACTTTCTGTTAAAGAGAAGACCAATTATCTTAAATTGCTGCAATGGGCAAGTGGTAGTTTGTGGAAGAATCTAGCTTTGTGGAAAAAAAAAAAGTTTCATAAGCTAGAAAAATATAAAACATGGTACTTGGAAAGACTGGTTTTCAGATACATGCATCTGATTCTGCACTTCAGTTCTTGAACTGTAATGTTGATATGCTTTATCTTTTGAATTGATATAATTGTTTCTTTTCTTTGTCAACTGGATGAACATAAACAGATATATTTACTTCCCATGGAAATAGTTCCCTGCTAAATCTAATGACCCAGTAATACATTCTGTTGTTTGGAAGTTAGCAAGATCATTGTAACAGTCTGTACTCCTACTTATGATAATTAACTTAAAAAGTTAGCTTGAAAGTAGCTACATCCATATTTATTAGGTGTCTGATTCTGAATGCATTGAAGTGAATTTTGTTCACTTCTCTGACCACTGGGACTTGTAGCTTAAGCACAACTTCTTGAGTAATGGATGAAATTCACTCCTGAGTAGAGAGGTTTGTAAGATCACTTTAATCACCAGAATTGTTTAAATTCCTTGTAAATGCTAAAATATGGTTGTTTATATTTAACATGGCTGCAGTGGTTTTATTTCATATGTGTTCTTCCTGTACAAATATCTGAAGTGATTTAATCAGTGACGTTTAAAAGAATATCTAGTCAAACTATCATTAAGTTAGAATAAGTAATGTGCTGTCTTTGTTTTATTAAATATGAAGGGTCAAATTAGTTAATTTAGTGGACTGGCCTCTTTTCCTGCAGCTTGTGTCCAAGCAGACTATGGCTGCCTAGGTTTTTGAAAAAATTGGAATAATCTTAGGAACAAATTGATTAAAATAATCATGTTCATATATGCAGGCAAGTTTAGATTTAAAATGTGGTGGTGTATGAGTGCATTTCCACAGCATCACAAGCTGATCAAAATTGTACCTCCTGCCTTCCCAGCCTCTTTCCTTCTTTTCCTTCCTTGTGCTAGTAAGGATTGCATTGGGAGCTGATTCAGGAAGCTGAACTGCCTGAAAATGAGCAACTCTTTTTTTCCCTTGATAGAATTAGTTTTTAGTTGACTCAGAACCGACTCAACCTGCAGTTGCATACCTGTCAGTGGCTACGTGAGTGAAGAGGTGGGATCCCAGAGAGGAAGGGAACAGTGGCGCTTCTTAGGCCTGCATCTGTCAGGGTGATGGTGCAGGACTCCAGCCTGTGACCTGCTCCTGCTTTGCATCAGTGTACAGCTGGTGTAGACCAGCTCCACCATTGAAAAACATGGTCCTGTTTGCTTCCACCCCATACTCTGCTGCTTCCTCCTTTGTGCAGGCACATACTTGTATGGTTATGTGGTGTGGTGAGCCGGGCTGAGGATTGAACTAACCTGGGGGAGGGGCAGGGGCAGGGAGGGGAGGGTTCGGTTGGAGCTGGATCAGTTTGCTGCACAAACATTTGTGCTGGCTCAAAGATGGGGGTGGAAGCAAGCAGTAAGGGGAGCAGGGTGTGTCTGTTTCTTTTGGTGACAGTGACACATTATGCCAGTTGAAAATATATTTGATACTGGCCTTATTCTATGAGGTTAAGCTGGTACTGCATTGAGAGTTTGAAGACATTGTTTGGTTATGGTTCATGGGCATATTTTACATCTAAGACCCCTTAAACCACAGTCTGATTTCAGAATGTACTTTGAAGGTATTTTTGAGTCTGGCCTTTTGTATGGTAACTAATTTTTAAAAAAATTTCAATTTTTGTACCTATTGTTTCATTTAGAGGTACTTAATGTGAAAATATGCGCCTGTTTATAACTGTTTTTTAATCCATCAAATTACTGCAACAAATTTGTTTAGCATATATATTGAGTTCTTAAGTTTAAAAGACTTAAATAAGAAAAGATAGTGATCAGAGTGTCCACTAAGAACACTGCAAGATATTTTGCGGTAACGAGCAGATAAACAAACTGAACATATCTACAGAAATTATGAGGCGACCCTAAGGCATACATTGTAACTTCGGACAGTTTCTGAGGAGGCAGTCTGTGAATTCTTAACTAACTATAATGGTTAGTGGTTTTCAAAATCTGTCTTAAGGCTTTCAGCCTATCACAGAAGTTTTACTTAGTGTTTCAAGATATGGATAAGCATTGATTTTTATGGGTTTTTTTCTCCCCCTTAATAACTGTGAAAATGGTAGATACTGTGTCCCTCAGCCATTTGTCTCTTTTCTCTGCCATAGATTACCATGCTAAATGACCCTTTCAAGAGAAGCTGTACACAGTGTTATGTGCTTTAGGCATAATCAGCAGTTAAATGGACAGTATGAGCTCAACCTGCCTTCACTGGTCAGTTACCTTGATTAATTTTTCCCGAGGCGATCAGTGTGCTCTTACATGATTCACTCTGTTTCAGGTCTGAATGGGCAGTAGTCTCTCTTTGCTGGGTGGTGGTGAGTAACTCTGGGCAGTAGCTTCTGCTGGAAGAGATGACCTATCTGCAGCCTTTAAGTGACGTTTTCTATAACAAGTGTAATGGGTTTTATTTTTGTCTGCCACTGAATAACATAGTTTTTAAACAAAGGTATTTGAGGAGCTGTTGGCTAAAAACTGCTGCCCAGAGATGTGTAATTTCACACGGTGCATGCAGATAATATATTGGTTGTATATAAGCTGTAGAACAGCAGTCCTAGTAGACTTTGAGTTTTACGCTCTTAAGCGTCATCTTTCCTTGTTGGCCCTTCTGTGTAATCAGTGTTAGATGTGAAGATTCATTTTGAACTTGAACTGTTGATAAACAGGTGTGTGGTGCTTTCTCACATAAGTATGTATGCATGTAAATCTGTGTGTGTGTATCATGTATTCTCCAAGTATGGTGTATTTTTCAAAGCTTCCTCTTCAGTTTAGTTCACTCTTTATCGAGGTCCATTTTCCTGCAGCCATATGATTCTCCAGAATTTCAGTTTTCCCCTCAGGCTTCGAATTGCAATAGGAATTATTATCCCTTGGCTTAAAAAAAAAGAACTAATAACTTATTTCTGATGTTTATACAATAAAAAAATCATGATTATTGCATGTTTGGGACTGACTATATGCATTCTTTTCTTATTAATGGAAATGGCGTTGTGACTACTGTCTGTTTCCTTCTCATGTCTTAGAGTACTTTGATTTCATCTCGTATTTATTCTTTCTCTAAAATGCTTCCACATCGATATGTGGGGAAGTGAGATGAGAAATGTCTTATCACATGAGTGACACATAATCTGTCACTGACTTCTCAGGTGCTCCAGGGTAATCCCTAAATTTTTTGCCTGAATCTCAGTCAACAAAGTAATACTACTATCTGTGTTAGACAGTATGTTCCTCTGAATTATTGCAAGTGT